ACCTTAAAATAGTAATTGTAATAATAATACTTAATCTTATTTTGACCCATAGAACCAAACACATCTGCCAATTGCACTATTGTAATCGTTTGGAAGGTGAATGGATTTCTTGATTCTGGTGGGTTGAGCAGAAATGATTGGAGATAGGTAGTCCCTGAGGTATCCTGGTCTTATACCATGTAGGTCTTTATAGATGACAACTAGCAACTTAAACTACACTTGAAAACCATCTGGGAGCCAAGGCAGTTTGAAGAACAGAGGTGTCACATGAATATATTGTGAAATGCCCAAAACTGCCTGTGCCATTGCAATCTGGATTATTGTAATGCAATTATGTGGACCACATAAAATGCATTACAATAATCTAGTTGGGAGATTACTATGGCATATGTTGCAGTGAAAGGGGCCTTCCAATCCAGAAACAGGTACAATTGATGCCCAAGGAAAAACTCTGTGCAAAGGCCCTCTCTCCTAACTCTATCTGCCACCTGCTCTTCAAACAGGAGCTATGAGTCCAGAAGGACTCTCATATTAAGCACCAATTCTGTCTGGAGTAGTATTGCAGTAGTATCAAAAGTCACTGAAAAATCAAGGAGAGCCAAGCTAAATGGACTACCCCCCCCCACACACTAAGGGTCATCAACAAGTGCATTTTTTTAAAAAAAAATGACACTCATCTACTAGAAGGAGCTCTACATGGCAAACAAAATAAAGCTCAATATTGTAAAACAACTATTGTAAAACAATGAAAAAAAAATTCAGGCTCTAAAAAAAATTCCATCCATCCATCAACACCCAGGCCATTTCTCTCAACATCCTGGCTCCAGTGTCTGGGGAAAGAGCCAGATCTTCACTGCTTTCCTGATGGCCAATAGAATCAGCATTTCCTTTGAAGCATCTCTGAGGGGAGACAGTTCCATAAGACAGGTGAGATGTGAAATTCCTTTTAGGGGACCCCAGAGCATGCCCACCCTGCCAGATTAGTTGGGATGGGCAGAAACCATTAGGAATAGGTGGTCCTGCAAATAACATTCCTTTAAAGGTGATAACCAGCACCTTGAATTATACCTGGAAGCCTACTGAGAGCTGGTGCAGCAGTGTTACATGGGTGTACTGAGGTGTGCCTGCTACTGCCAGTGCTCCTGGACCAGGTGCAGCTTCCAAATTCTCTTCAAATCAGTCCTATACTGAATGCATTGCAGAAATCTAATTCGGAGGTGATTAAAGCATGAGTGACTGTGAGTAGTGTAATGTATTGAGCAAAAGGCCTCTTGGTCATGGCTACCATTGCCCTTCAAGCACTATACAAAGTCCAGGAGAACCCCCAGATTAAACAGAATCCCTGACTGAGGTCACTCCAGGCTGAGTTAAATATGGCAAATTACTAGATACAGGGGATCCTAAAACTCCCAGGCATTCAGTCTTGTCCATGCTGATCTGAAGCCATCCAGGCCTGTACAGCTTTCAGGAAAGCACCTTGGCAGTAATTTGAGACATATACTAACGATGTGATCCTGAGTTACACCTTAGTAATATAATTGTTATTTTCATTGTTAGTACACCTGATGCTGGCCTTTCAAACTAGAATATGGCAGACATATATTAATGCATAATCTCAGTACACATTTCTCTTAACCATTACATTTCCATTTATCACTTTTGTGGATTTTGCCCAGGTTCTACGCAATGGATACAAAGGACAAAAATAATACCTCAAAGAAAGAGGCGTGAAGTGAAAGCTGGAGATGATATAAATGTCAAGCCTCCATGAATTGAGGTCACCTTGGTTGACACTGTGAAAATATGATCCTGAGTACAGAAATAATATCTATATCATTTCATGAGCTAAGTGAACATCAATGAACACAGAGTGGCCAAAAGCAAAGTTTTCAATGTCCCCATGATAGTCCGGGTTTCTCTATCAACCCTCATTTTGAATGTAATCTTTTAAAAACAAAAACAGGTTTTATTTTAAGAATGTAAATATGTGTCTCTTCATGGCAATAAAGTAGTACAAACCAGCTCCATCTCATTTATTAGGACAGGTTAGGATGGGCAGTGCAGCATTTTTGCATAGTTGAGAAAAAAGGTGGTAAGTGCTATACCAATATGGCTGCCACTGACTGCATGACTTTGTCTTTGCTGCTGCATCATTTCACATTGCTGTGCCTCAGAAGAGGACACCATTAACTGTGGCTGATCTTAGTTTATCAACTGCCACATGGAAACAGAATATCATGGCACAAAACCTGCCAGATGAAAGCATCTTCAAGTATGGGGAGAGACATTGCAGCATCATTTTGTGAAGGTTGAAAAACCTATGCTTAGATTAGGAACCTAATGCACCATGGAAACTGACAATAAATTGTCAATTAATTTTTTAATTCAAAAAAAGTAGTGAATACTAAGTATTCTATTTGAAAGAGAAAAAATAATCTGGTAAATAGGAAGTGAATATCCTGGCCAGTGTCCCCATAAATCAAACAGTTTAAAGGTTAACATGGAGCTGGTTCTCTAGATACGTTCTTTTTTTTGTCCTTTCTTGAAAAAAAGGAACCGCGAGTAGGAAACCTGAAAGAGTCATAACTGATCTCTCTCTCTCTCTCTCTCTCTCTCTCTCTCTCTCTCTCTCTCTCTCTCTCTCTCTCTCTCCTCTCTGTATGGGGGTATATGTTCTGCTCATCCTCTCCTTAAGGGTCCTTATTTCACTAATTTATAAACTGGCACATCTATGTCACATTCAAAATTCTTATGGCTGTATCTTTTTTTTACTAACAACTCCCAGTATCCATGCTGGCATGCTGCAGGCATGCTGGGTAATTTTCTAGATGGGGGAAGTTTGTTAAGTCACACAAAGGTGTTAATTTGTCCTGCCCCTGCTTACCTTGTCCTTTTGGGGAGTAGTTGACTATATTTTCAAGCAAAGAACTGGAATGCAGTTCTAAGAATGTTTGTGGGTGCATTTGGTACCCAGAGAATTTTTGGAAAGAAGTCAATGCTGCAAGCATTTATTTTTAATATAAATGTTAGAAAAAACAGGAACCTGGAAGATACCTAGTATGGTGTAGATGGACACTTTAGCATCCCTGGGATTATTTTTTTAAAAATTTATTTATTTATAAAATTTATTGGCCACCCATTTTACCACAAGGTAACTCTGGGCAGCTTACAGTCATAAAATGTATTTATACTATACATCAGTGGTGGCGAACCTATGGCACGGGTGCCAGAGGCGGCACTCAGAGCCCTCTCTGTGGGCACATGCGCCGTTGCCCCAGTCCTAGGCCTTCAGCTGGGTTTTATAAAACCTTTTTGCTTTAGGCCTCCGCCACCATGTACAAAAAAAAAGGTTCAATCAATCAGTCAATTTCAACTTCTTGCGGGAAAAAAAAGATCTTGCAAAGTTGGAATTGATTGATCAAACTTTTTAATCCCACCCAGTCTGCCGTTACCACCACAGCCACGCCCAGCCAATGGGCCACGCCCAGCCAATGGGCCACACCCACCCGGCACCCGACGATGCATAAGTGGGTTTTGGGTTGCAGTTTGGGCACTAAGTCTCTAAAAGGTTCACCATCACTGCTATACATTAAAACATAAATTAAAACCAGATATTCAAATCTAATGACATGTGGGGAGGCAGGGGCAGGGAAGTGGGATCTGTTGATGCTTGATCAACCACCTCTACTACACTTTCCCCCAATTGGGGCCCCAAACCAACTGACAGTCTTGAAATCCTTATGAAAGGATAGGAGGGTTGGGGCCAACCTCACATCAGGTTCTATATTGGGGGCTACAACTGTAAGCAACAAACCTATCGCCCCTTCTTGCACATTTGTTCTCTTAGCATTATTCTTGCTCCTTATCTTTGTCTGCATTAAGAATGCAGTGTACTGAAAGATAAAGTAATACTGGTTCCAGGAGTTTACTGAAACATTTAACAAATGGGATAGTGCACTGGGACATATGACCATAAATACAAGCATGGTTTTTTTAAAAAATTAGATAACCTTTAAAAAAATGACAATAAAGGTTATCTAATCTAAAAAAAAAAATCATGCTTGCATTTGTGGTCATATGTCTCAGTGCACTATCCCATAGTGACAAGCTGAAAAGAACTGAATTAAAAATATGGGGAAATATAGGTTTGCAAATGTTTTAGAAATTGGTTTATTTCATGTCTCACATATTACCCGCCTTTGTTTATTTGATGAAATATACAAGGATTTCTTGAAAATGACTTGCTTAATCTTGCTCACAGCACAAGTGGAAATTCTCCCACCAGATATTTTCTAGCAGATTACTAAATTACTAAACATAAATTCATTATGTACTAAGATAGCAAATATATGTATTGTGACTTTTGTTCATCATTTATTGACTCATGTCAGAAGATTCTAACATCTAAAAACACAATTCCTTCATCCCTAAAGGTTATAGAATTAATAAGTGATACCAAAATTTATTCAGATGACATTTAACTGAAATAAAGCCTGAAGTTATTATTTGATGGAATATTTCAGGTCACCTAAACCTATCTGGTGTAGGAAGGTAAGAAAGAACTGTCATCTGTAATTTCAACTTTGTGGTATAATGCTACAAAATTATAATACATCTCAGTACAACAAGAAATGAAAGAAGTCAAAAACCGCAGCCCAATGTTAAGAAACTGATACCAAGAATAAAATGTCCATATCTAATATTTTTTATGTCAAGGTGTTATTCAAATCTATATAGTAGATAAAATTTCCAAAACCACAATTCCAGGATCCCTGCATATTTTTTTTCCTGCTTTCTAAGGCAGTTTTGTACTTAGGTCAAACGTTTCCTATAGCCACAATAGGAACACCTAGTATTCATTGCAGAGTTTGGTAATTCAGTTGGTTATAACTTATTAAACTGATGCAACTTTTTGGACATTCGCTTCAAGGCAACCCTTTGGAACTCTTAAAACTTTCTTAGAGAGAATGGAAAAAAAGGGAAGGCGCTCATGTACTCACGGTCATTGCACAGTGTCCCACTGAAAGAAGTCATGCTACAGTCACAGCTAAACCCATCCCATTGCTGTAAGCAGACACCTTGGTTGGCACAGGAGTCTTCTTGGCATGTGGTGCTGGGGCCTAACAATAAAACACACCATAGAAAAGAACATGAAGGACTGTCATTCAGAGTGACCATATGTGTCATTGGATCACACAGGGTAGTTGCCAACATCTCATGTTTTTAGAGTAAATTATGGGGGAAAAGCTGATAAGGGGATTAACCCATATTATTAATAATATTCATGTTATGTAGAGACATATGGTTTTTGTTTGTAACACAGAGGAATATGAAGATATGAATTCATGTCATGATAATAACATAAGAGAAGCAAGTAACTCAAGCAAAAGGAAGTGGTAGTTCTCGACATATTTCTAATTTTACTTTAACATCTATAAACTATCTTCTCCAAAACAATGAGTTCTACTAGAGATTGTGGAAAACAGAATATAAAACTAAAAACAAAACAAAACAAAAAAACCAACAACAAAAAAATACAAACAACCAAAACAAAGCCACACATGTCATATTAAAAGCAAGCAAGGAAAAGAAAAATACAGCTATTCAAACAATGATTTGATGAACACCTTTATCTACCGACAGACAGAAGACCTTTGGGTTGGCATTTTTTAAATTAAAAAAAATCATATTTTCTCGTTAGCAGGAATGTTGGCAAGTATCTTTTTGCATGCTTTAAATTGTCCCATGCAGGTTTTTAAGAACAAAATAGATAGATAGAGGAGAAATCAGCCAACTAATGCACCAACATGCTCAAAAAAATGACATTTACACATGAGAAACAAAACTATTCTATTTCTAAAGATCATAATTAGACCACTGGGAGAAATAAACAAACAAATAAAACGTTAAAGAAAGATGCAGGTTCAAAGCACTGAAGCAATCACTATACAAATAAGACACAAGACTGAAAGCCTGTATTCAATATATCCCAGGAGAAGATGGTTCTCTGTGCCATATTTTTTAATGGGAAGAAGAGGAAAATGAGCTACAACACACAGATATCAGCACAAAAGTGGCTGAAGGTTCTCAATGCGTTGTATGGGTTTCAGTCTTGTTTAATATACACAAGGGCATCTACCTTGCAAATCAGCTTTCATCAATGCAACTTTGTCAGCAAAATAAAAAAGCAAAATATATTAAATGTTAGTAAGCAAATATTGAAATGGCAGCAAACACAGAGAAATTGTTCAGAGAAAAAAAAGTGCATGCTGCTCTTAAAGAGGAAAAGAAATTCCAAGTAATGCAAATAAATTAATGCTAATAGACATAAATATCCAGGCAAGCCAAAATGAGAATGCAATAATTGCCAGCATTTACTACAAATATAATGGTTAATTGAGCTGATGGCATGTAATGAAGGAAAATTAAAATCATTTCTTTTCATAGGATAAATGTGAACACATTAGCAAAAGGAAATGGATGGTTTAATCCTGAGTAGCCATTTGTTACGTTCAGATATAAACAATTCAATCATTAACACATTATCCTTTGCCATCCTAAATCTCTAGAGGAATCGAAGGGCTTGTAGGTGCCCACGTGCTAGAGAATGGTTTTGACACTTACTATCTCCCTTGCCACCTTATTAAAATATATAGATACAGCCAAAAATATTGGTACTCTTTTACTTTTTCCTTAAAAATATCAATATGCCAGGCATGAAGTAACTGACACAAATAGGCATCCACCATTTTTATTCCATAATCTATAGAGCAGACACTTTGCTTTTGGTGTATGACTTCATATATTCTTGTAAATACTTAAGCAAAAGGAAAAAAAATTACAAAAGAAGGTTGAAGATTGGTAGATAAATAAATGCTCTTTAATAGCCATAGGTGTTATAATATTCATTTTGGGATTCTCCACAGCTCTTTTCTGGCAGCCAATTAGTCTCAAACTTTCATATATGTGTACAAGACCAAAAGAGTTAAAATCCCTGGATTCAAATGTACGCAAAGAACTATACCCTATAATTCAGTTCACATCCTATGTGAGTCAGTTAAAGACCTAGTAGCTACATTTGCACAATATGTTAAGCTTTGTTTTTAATCTTGTTTATTTTGTGACTTAGCTTCTTATGTGAATGTAGCCTGGGAAAAGGTTAGAGTTAGCAGAAATGGAGCAGCTTCAGTAAGCAGTTAATTGAACATACTTCTCTATGTTATGCAAAATATTTTGTTGGCTTTCCTTTCTCCCAAAGATCAGAAGGAGACAGGTGTGGCATCATGTGGCAACTAACACATGTCATTAAAAGGCACATGGTTTTGTGATCTACAGCTGGGACCACAGTCAAAGCTCTAACCCTTTTTCATGTGATGCATGTAAAAAGGGGTAGAGCTTTAGTCATACAGCTGTTTTCTTGCCTTTTTGGACCACAGCAATTATCTCACAATTATCTGATTTATATATTGTAGTTTGCATTTGACTTTACTTTGGGTGAAAAAGTCTTTTGATTTATAAAACATGATTGATGTCTGTAGTTTGGTGAACATACTATGATGAAGCAAACTGTATATTAGGAGGAGGAAAGTGTGTTGGATATTTTTGCTGCCTTTAGTGAACATTTGAAGTTACAACGGCACTGAAAAAGTGACTTAAGACCATTTTTCATACTTACAACCATGATCGTGTGATCAAAATTCAGAGGCTGGCAACTGATTCATATTTATGATAGTTGCAGTGTCCCTATGTCATGTGATCACCTTTTGCAACCTTTCTGACAAGCAAAGTCAATGGGCAAGCCAGATTCATTTAACAACCATGTTACTAACACCCGCAGTGATTCACCTAACAAATGTGGCAAGAAAAGTCATAAAATGGGGCAAAACCCACTTAACAAATGTTTCACTTAGCAACAGAAATTTTGGGCTCAATTATGGTCGTAAGTCAAAGGCTACCTGTAATAAAGGCAGGATACAAATGAATAAAATAAATAAAAATAATAAATATTGGAAAAGTGTGATGAGTTGTAGATTTATTTTGGATGCATTTTGGATGAAGTCAAAGAAAAAAAGGATATTCTTTACCACTATAAGGATTCACATACAATTGTAATATCTGGCTTTTTAAAAAACCAGAGGAAGGAAATGGAAGTAAAAGGTCAAGTCCATTTCAGAATATTTGAAAGAGGAAATCTTAATAAACTGAGTTTTACACAAAACACAATAAATTGTGGGGCAGTTTTGTGAGAGCCCCATCAGATATTTCAAAAGCTACTGAGTCTTGAGTGAAACTGGTGTGGGAGTGGACTGCAGAATAAGAGGAGATTGGACAGCAACTGAAAAGCTCAAAGAGGTACAAAATCTGAAGCAGGAGTCCCCAAATCAGGTTGTCTTTTTCGGATCTGGAAAAGGAAATCTGTGTGAAAAATGGCATAAAAGGGTGGTAGGATCTGGGTGGCTTGGGAGCTGCAGTTACAGAGCTTCTTCTACCAGACGGTCCCTTTTCAGTACTAGAACTTAAATCCAAGTAGAGTAGAGCTACTAATTTAGCTGAACCCTCTTCCTTTGATTTAGTGACCAAACCACTAACCACTGTTGCTAATCTAGGTCATATAATGCTGTCCTCAGTTGACATCAATATTATAAAACCATTTTCATTGGTTTTGTAACAAAGACCTAAGTATAGGTTGAATGTATTCAGAGCTAATGTCAGACTCTGACTTCATCCATTCAGATTATTTTCAGCCTTTCAGTTTGGTTCTGTAAATAAGCTTTATAAATTACTTGGCAATTAAGGTGATTCTTAAGAATTTGGGTGCTACATAATTAAATGATTATTTTAATACCAAGATCTAATCACTAACAGAATGTATCACAATCTGCCTTCTTTCTCACCTGCACTGGAATCTGTGATTTGCAAGCTTTACACAATAAAGTGAAATTACCTTTAGGTGTATAGAAGCTATGTATTCATATACTGAGTCACACTTTAATTTTTTAACATTAATCATCAAATTAAAATTAGAATTCAAGTCATAAGGATTTAAAAATTCAAACAAAAATAATACCTTGTGGACAATTAAATAATATGAATGAACATGTAAGTAGTAAAAAAATGAATGGATGAATTTGGGGGTTTGGCTCTTCATATCAAACTGATCAGCAGACCTTTACTGTATGCAGAAAATTTATAAATCTCCTCAACTCAAAACCTCTGCAATTTTTTTGCTGCAGGCAGGTGGCTTTCTGGGTTGCAAAGGAATATTGAATCTTGAAATGTCTACAGTAGAAGAATGTACTTTAAAAAAATTATCATGACATCTGTGAATATTTGATTGAAGCCTCATCCATGTTTACATCTGTGCTAAAAAGGAATGGGGCTTCCTTTGTGCAGTCCTGAATTCCATCCTGAATGCCTCCCCCACGGATTCCTTTGATGGAATCTCCCTTTTTAGGTGCCATATATGAATGTTGTGAATGCCTATGAATTATTTGAAACAATTATTTGCTCCTAAACAAACATACATTTGTCACAAAATAACCATCTGGACATATTTTGCAACTGTGCCTATAGGAGGCTCTTTTTTTGATAAAATCTGAAGTGGGGAGAGTACATATTTTCACTGATCACTGAAAAGAGATAAAGTGAATTGAGGAAGCTCAGTTACAGGCCACAGCTCTGCCCGAGAGAGAGAAGGCGGAAGATTTTGGTTCCTTATTCACACAAATGCATAGAATAAATTTCATCTTTAAAAACTGAAAGGTTAGTTATTGAGATTATGGATTGCACTAAATTTATTTCTCTGAAATTATTTTAGTTTCTATGCAATGATCCTTGCTTACCATTAAAAAAGAGTCTTATTTTAGTATTTACCAAATCCTATAGTACAGTTTTAACACATTCCTTCAGACCTCTTCCATGATCTTGTCTACTGGGACCGAGCATATAAAGAGCAAATATAATTCCATCCTAAGCAGGAATTATAAATTAACCAGTGGACAACCTCCAGAAGCTGTGAATGCTCCAACACTGGAAGTTTTTAAGAAGAGACTGGACAACCATTTGTCTGAAATGGTATAGGGTTTCCTGCCTGAGCAGGGGCTTGGACTAGATGACCTCCAAAGTCCCTTCCAGCTTTATTATTATTAAGGAAATAGTCATGAAGCAGTACCTGAGAAAATCTTTGATATAATGACATTACTACTACTACTACTACTACTACTACTACTACTACTACTACTACTACTACTACTACTATTAATTTATTGTTTTATCATAGAGAATAAAATACAAAACAAAACAAAATTAAACCAAACATAAGTATACAATCAACCCTAACAACAACAAAAAAGAAAAGAATAGTGTACAAATAAAGAAGAAAAAGTGATCAATTAAATTGAACATTTAACAGATAGGATTCACCCTGGCTGGGTGCTGGAAAAAAAAGAAAAAGCAGTAAATTCTCTGTGACATATTTATTAATTGGATATGTGTCTTAATATATTTTGCAAGGAACTAATGCTAAATACATCTAGATGGATAACTGCAGTAACAATATTTAATTAGGCACATTTAAAACTAACTATAAAAGAAAGTTATTTTAAGATTACTTTTTCTCTTGATAATAAAATTATATCATCTGTATTGTTTTCTTGATAACAGTATTCAATCTCTCTGCCTGGGCTTCAAACTCTGGTATTTCTGAGTTGTGCCCCATCTATCTATTAATCAGATGATTAGCATCTTGAGATCAGCTAGCTTTTGCCACCTAGCTAGAGAATGAAGTGCAGCATCTAAATAAAATCCATATAATATGGAAGTATAATTCATTGGTTTTTCTCCCTTCGTGTTCTATATCTGAAAATTCTTGTTCTACAAATACAATAGAATGATTAGTCACTCCTAATTAAATGATTGAGTCATATGACTGTTTTCTTATCTCACATTACAGATAAATATGCATAAACTATCCGGTGGTCCTTCATTGGTAAATTTTCAAATTATGTCAAATATATGCCCATGAAAAAACTGAAAATTTACCAGCTGGTGGGATGCAGACAAATAGCTGCAGGATGGATATAATTACCAAGCTGAGCAATTCCACTTGAAACCATTTTGTGCATTTTTGTCAATTCCAATGAAGAAGTGTTAGCCTTGATCTGATCTGCAGGAGAGTCATCAGCACTATTCTGCACATACCACCACAAATGCAATAGGAATCAGTGATGATCTTTGGCCAGGGGCCAAACCTCTAAGTCAAATCTGAATAAGTGGAGGAAGAATGTTTATCTCCTGCCAGATAATATTTTTATCTAGAACCTTCAGTCAGGTACTAAATATCTCTCCAGGAGAATGCTCCCTCTTAATTTGAGAAGCAGTCATTTTGATCAAAACTCTTCCATTTTACTCTACATAAGGAAATTTCAAATACCATTCATCAGGATCCTTATTGTGGCAGGAGAGGAACCAGTAATATGGACAGCAAATATATATCAGCCTTTTTTCTGCCATTTCAAGACTGGTAGAGAACACTTTAACTTGGCTGCTGGAAGAGTCCCTAGACTCAGACCCTCTGTAGAATCCTAACATCTCTTTTTCTCTTAATGTGTGTTAGAAATGTGCATCTTAATTAAATTAGTTAATTTATACTCTAAATACTATCTATGTACTGCAGTGCTGTAACTAGTATCTATGCACTGTGATTATATAAAATGCTGCATGGGAGCTAATTAGCACAACAATTAATTAAGATACTGCACAAACAAAACAAAGACAGGCAAATCAGCTAATTCATGGCAGAATTGACCAATTGTGTTCTGGTAGATAACTTAATGTTCTCAAGTTTGAATTGAGCTTTGTGCCATTGGAGTGCATTTCTCAACAAACAACATCCACTTTCATTAATTATGTAAACTAATTTAGCATCTGTAACAAAGAACAAATTGATAAGATGGGAAACTGGCAGCATCCAAATACAAGTAACAGCAGAAAAGATGCTATAGCTCCCCAACTATGAAATTAAATTTAGAAACATTTTGGTTACACTATAAGAGTTTGAGACAAGTCTATGAAATGATCACACCATACCTTCACATCCTCTTTCTATCTGTCCATTGCAAAGCAGAGCATCTGAAATCAAATCTGGAAGACGCCCATTGAGGTCCACAGAGGCAAGGCAGCCTTGAAATCCTTCTTTGGCGTGGACCAATTTTGGCAAGGATTTGTAAGTCTCTTTTGCTACTCCTCCAATATATAGATCACCTGTGAAGTCAAACAAAAGGCTTGGATGAATATTTTTTTATTAACCCTATTCACTGATAAATTGAACATGTTTTAATCCACAGCTGCACAAAAATATTTTCTTAATTTTTATAATAAATCAAAAAGGCAAAATAATAATAATAATAATAATAATAATAATAATAATAACAACAACAACAACAACAACAACAATGATTAAAAAAAGAGAATATCTGTAGCTCAGGGTTGAAATGAGGGGTCTTTGGTGCTCTCTGAGCTTGGCTGTTTTCTTGCAAACATTTCATTATCCAAACTAGGTAACATCATCAGTGCTGATGATGTTACCTAGTTTGGCTAATGAAACGTCTGCAAGAAAACAACTAAGCTCAGAGAGTCCCAAAGAGCCAATAAACAAAAATATAAAACCAAGCAAGAAAAGTAAATGTCAATTGCTCATGAAAAAATACAGCCTCTCTCTGGCACCTAAATACAGGTAGTCCTTGACTTACAACCACAACTGAGCCCAAAATTTCTGTTGCTAAGCAAGACATTTGTTAAGTGAGTTTTGCCCCATTTTACCACCTTTTTAACACATTTCTTAAATGAATCACTGCAGTTGTTATAATACAGTTGTTAAGTGAATCTGGTTTCCCCATTGACTTTGCTTGTCAGTAGGTCACAAAAGGTGATCACATGACCCCGGGACACTGCAACTGTCATAAATATGAAACAGTTGCCAAGTGTCCAAATTTTGATCACGTAACCTTGGGAATGATGCAATAGTCATAAGTGAGAAAAACAGTCACATCACTTTTTTCAGTACCATTGTAACTCTGAACAGTCACTAAATAACTATTGTAAGTCGTGGACTACTTGTAATAGGCCAAACATTTTTTTTTCACAGTGTCCATGAATTATGTTACTTCCAAGGCCATCTAGGCTATAGCTCAAATGTGGTCATATTGAACCCTTTGTCAATAATACAATATATAGCAAAAAGAAGAAAGGAGTGTTAATGAGGAGATTCCTCCCAAAACAATATAAATCCCTTCCTCCCAAAAATGTATTTAAAGTTCGAATTTCCACCAGTATATAACTACTTTGGCCAACTTGTATAGTACAAGTGAATTATACATGATTTTAAAGTCTTACTATAATACATAATTAATATATGGTCGATATTTAGTTATTAGAACTCAGTGTCACAATCAATCCTGAACTGTTTGGTTCTCATTAAACACCACAACTGGAGTAAGTCAGATGAGCAGACAAATGTTATTAAGTTGGCAAGGCAAAAATGACTGGAATAGACATCCTGTGGATTTCTAAGAATGTTTACACCTGATGATTGACTTGATCTCTGAAGTCTGCTCTCTTGATTTGACATAACCTTGCCAATTATTTCTATGAATGTTTTCTACTGTATTCAGAAAATTAGGGCTTCAAACAGGATTTATTTTATCGGAGAGATCGATACACTTGGTACGTATTCCATGACGGATATAAAAATCATATTTTATATGATGATTATAATTATCCGTAAGTATCACTTGCCGTTCACCCGTCCATTACTGTACAAAGTCCAAGGTGTGAGATGGGAATATAAAAACGTTACGTTGTAGTGTCGTGTTCATCCTTTCTTGTCTCGAACGTAGTATTAGTCACAAGACATGTTTCATTGTTACAGCATTATGGCAAAGACAGACACCTAGGTGCATAATGTTTGTTGCTGAAGAAACACTGGGAATTGTTTCTAGAGAATGCCATGTGGGGGAAGACATAAGTAGAAGATGAATTTGTCCCTGGCTATCATAGACCCTTGGAACTGAAGGGAGTATTTGCATGCTTGTCCTTTTCATCTGCTTAGCAAGCCTGGATTCTGTCTCTTAGCATGTGGCATCACATTTGGAGGTGCCTGAGAGTATGGAAGAAGCCTTCCTTATATTTCAGAAAAGGATAATTTGTCTTCTCTGGGCTAGTATATTTCATTACACATGAAATGTATATTCCAAAATACAGAATGTTTCAGTGATGGCCAACATTAGCTCTTCCTCTTGACTGACGGTGCTTTTTAATATTACAAGATTATAAGTGGTTCCTATACTTATCCACCATGATTTGATTTAATGCATTTAAAACATTTATATAGTTACCCACCTTATACCTAGCTCTGGGTAGCTCACAACCAAGAGATACAACCATATCTATGCACAATACAAGTATTAAAATAAAAGATATTAAATATATTATTATTATTATTATTATTATTAATAATAATAATAATAATAATAATAATAATAATAATAATAATAATAATAATAATAATAATAATAATAAAGTTGGAAGGGACCTTGGAGGTCATCTGGTCCAACCCCCTGCTCAGGCAGGAAACCCTATACCATTTCAGACAAATGGCCGTCCAGTCTCTTCTTAAAAACTTCCAGTGTTGGAGCATTCACCACCTCTG